CCCCATAAGGGAAAAAAAAACGGATATTTATCACGTTATGGGGACATTGTGTCCCCATAAGGATAGGTAAACCTGCTCACACACACACACACACACACACACACACACACACACACACACATAGTATAGGGACAGTTATCACTTTCATTATTTATTGTACAGTTTGATGTGACTATATTATTTGTCTTATGAATTATTAAAACTCAAAAATAAAAGTGACATTTTTTTAGCAATAAGTTCCAAAAGGTGCTAAGAGATGTGCAGTGAGCATAATGACTTATTTACCTCACTTTAGTTTCATTCTGCATGTTTGACCTGACTCTATATACCAGACAGAGACTGAATTTGACATTTACGGCTCAGCTATGATGGACTGGCATGCCGTCCAAAGTGTAGCTCAGCCTTGTGCGCTTTGCCCAGGCTCCAGGTCTCCAGTACAGCCCTCCTATGGTTGGATACCTGGCTCAATAAGGAAGTATGAGAGTCTGCGTTAGCCTGATTCTTATATATAAATAATAGCATATGTATTCCACATCCCTTTATCAATCTTTGCCTTAATATCTTATTTCTGTAAGACATCTGTAGCTAAGAAGAGTAAACAGGGTGGTAGATACCAGTTTGCTTTGACTGGCCATAAGCAAAAGGTATTTAACATTTATTTATTTAGGAGACACTTTTGTCCAAAGCGATGTACACATGAGTTTGGCATTGGGGGAGGGGGGGGGGCTGGGGACAATGGGTACATGATGCAATAGTCACATCATGATTTTATAATAATAAAGTTTTCATTATTTTAAATAAGAGCTTAAGTTAATATAGTCAGTGGTTTTAAATGATACTGTTTACAGTGCAGTTTCACAAAAGAAAAACATAACAGAAAAATGATTGATCCAAATGGTAAAATGAAATACAGCACTACAGTCTTTGTTAGGTATATGTTTGTTACGTATAGGTTTGTTAGGTATATATTTCTTAGGTATATGTGTGTTAGGTATATGTTTGTTAGGCATATGTGTGTTAGGTATATGTGTGTTAGGTATATGTTTGTTAGGCATATGTGTGTTAGGTATATGTGTGTTAGGTATATGTTTGTTAGATATATGTTTCATCCGCGCGTTCTGCATGCACAGTGAATTGGCCTGAGTAACACATGGATTCCTAATGAAAGGTAGGAAACACACTCTTATTTATTGAAGAGGGGAGGGGTGGGGTGGGTCTCCCCCATGGGTCTCCCCCATGGGTCCCCCCGGCCCCCCATTTATGATGCCCACTGCAGATTATACATCACAGGTGTACTGCTGTCAAGGAGCCAGCTGAGGTGCCAGTGCTGCTCAGCACTTACAGTGACTGACCATGAATAAGTGCACATTAACGCTGGAGGAAGAGCAGGACAAAACACTAAAGCTATTCACCTAAAGCACTGCCCTCGAATGATTCGGCTGGCGGTGGCAACTTGTACTTCCAGAGTCTGTAAATACATGAAGCAGTTGAATTTACAGTAGACCAGGGTTCCTTTCTTCCTGGGTCCCCAGTAAATTTCATTGCAGTGGCATCTATGGTATTACATAAGGATGTTAAATTTCTAATAAACCCGACTGCAGCAGCCCCATGAGTGGAGAGATTCAAAGGGGCAAATGAATGCAATAGGATGGTAGGGGAGTTAACTGTGAATGTGTATCTAAACATTGTGTTTCAGTTGGCAAAGTGTAATCCTCATGTCTCAAAAGGCTCGCATAAATTACAATTTATTCTTTAATCATGGGGTACTGAATGTAAAACTGGGTGAATAAAATTGAATTATAATGAATGGTTTTAAAAATAATAAACAAAAAAAAAAACATACAAAAAAATACTTGAATACAAATGCTGTGATATAAGTTGCTGACGTCTGTCTCCGGATGGTTATCAGTTCAAATATTTTTGTTATTAGACACATGAGCAAGGCCCTTAAGCCCAACTGTTCTGGGGCTCCAGATAAACAGCGGACCCCCAGCTCTAGCCCCAAGCTTTGCTCTCTTTTGTCTGTGCCTGTGAGTGTGTGTGTCTCACAGGAGAGTGAGATGGATATGCAAAGGCTGAATTTCATTATGCTTGCTAATTGGGGCTGCGTAGCTGCATACCAGACAGAGTGCCCATGATGATCTCTGTCCACCACAGAAAGTGCCAAGAATGGGCACATGAGTGTCAGAACTAGACCATGGATCAATGGAGGAAGGTAGCATGATCAGATGAGACCAACAAGTCCAATCCACGGCTATGTAGCCCGATATCCAGAAGGCCTTGATGCCCTGTGTTGTAACACATTACTCCTATGACCATCATTAAAATCTTCAATTTTTACCATAGTAGCCCTTCTGTAGGTTTGTGCCACACAGGACAGCCTTTGTTCATATCTTGCATCAACAAGCCTTAGCCGGCCAACATCCTGACAATGGACTGTGTATTTTCCCTCCACCACTCTCACCACGGCTGACCGTGGGAACCCCACAAGCCTTGCAGTTTCAGAGATGTTCTAACGCAAAGTCATTTAGGTTCATTTCTTCTATATGCATCACATCAACTACGAGTGCCGAATGTTGGCTTATAGCCTAATATATCTCAGACATGTGCCATTTTCACAAGATAGTCAACATTATTCTGGTCTTATTGTTTTTGTTAATCGAAGTACCTTCCATAAGTAAGACTTGACATTGTATTGAGAATTTTAGTAGAATTGTTTGATTTCCTGGGATCATGATCCCAGGAGCTAAGTTGCCCAGGGCTTTATGCCCCTGGTAGGGTCACCCAAGGCAAACAGGTCCTGGGTGAGGAACCAGACAAAGTGCGGCTCGTCAGACCCTTATGATGAATACAAACACGGATTCACGATTTCCCTTGCCCGGACGCGGGTCACCGGGCCCCCCCCTGGAGCCAGGCCTGGGGGTGGGGCTCGATGGCGAATGCCTGGTGGCCAGGCCTACACCCATGGGGCCTGGTCGGGCACAGCCCGAACAAGGCACGTGGGTCCCCCCTCCAATGGGTTCACCACCTGTAGGAGGGGCCATAGGGGTCGGGTGCAGTGCAAGTTGGGCAGTGGCCGAAGGCAGGGACCTTGGCGGTCCGTTGCAGAAGCTAGCAGAAGCTAGCTCTAGGGACATGGAATGTCACCTCTCTGGTGGGGAAGGAGCCTGAGCTGGTGCGCGAGGCTGTGAGGTTCCGACTAGATGTAGTTGGGCTCACCTCGACGCACGGCTTGAGCTCTGGAACCAGTCTCCTCGAAGGGGGTTGGACCCTCTTCCACTCTGGAGTTGCTTACGGGGAGAGGCGCCGAGCTGGGGTGGGCATACTTATTGCCCCCTGGTTGGGTGCCTGTGTGTTGGGGTTTACCGTGGTGGACGAGAGGTTAGCCTCCCTTCACCTTCGAGTGGGGGGATGGGTTCTGACTGTTGTTTGTGCTTATGCGGCAAATAGCAGTAGAGTCAGAATGGGCCATGTTCCGTGCCTCCATTGTGGAGGCGGCTGACCGGAGCTGTGGCCATAAGGTGGTCGGTGCTTGTCGCGGCGGCAATCTCCGAACCCGCTGGTGGACACCGGCGGTGAGAGATGCCGTCAAGCTGAAGAAGGAGTCCTATCGGGCCTTTTTGGCCTGTGAGACTCCAGAAGCAGCTGATGAGTACCGGCGGGCCAAGCGGAACGCGGCTTCGGTGGTCGCTGAGGCAAAAACTCGGGTATGGGAGGAGTTTGGTGAGGCTATGGAGAATGACTTCCGGACGACTTCAAGGAGATTCTGGTCCACCATCCGGTGTCTCAGGGCGGGAAAGCGGTGCAGCATCAACACTGTTTATGGTGGGGATGGTGCGCTGCTGACCTCAACTCGGGATGTTGTGGGTTGGTGGAAGGAGTACTTCGAAGACCTCCTCAATCCCACTGACACGCCTTCCAATGAGGAAGCAGAGTCTGGGGACTTGGGGGTGGACTCACCTATCTCTGGGGCAGAGGTCGCTGAGGTGGTTAAAAAGCTCCTCGGTGGCCGGGCCCCGGGGG